TGAAAATAATTATTAGTATTCATCTTCCACACATCAACTTGATATAGGAGCATAACCCTGATTAGCCACTCTTCTTGCTTTCCACTCTACTTGAAAGAAACCAAGTGTTCCAAACAATGAAGAAACCACCTGAAATGGAAGAGCAAGAGGAATACATTTCTTGTGTCAAATTGTTACAGATACAGAAGCACACCTATTTGAAGAGGAGCTTTGTCATGAAATGAGTGCAGAGTAAACTTGAGATTAAAGCAATTCATTTTGGACCACAGAGGTCTTGGAAATTAAAATGCAAAAAATGTGAGAATGAGTTTCATACCTATGGAAGAAAAATAACGATATTGGCAGACAATACCTTATGACCACTTCATCATGTTAATGCAAAAAAAAAGTGCTACTTAAGCTGTGACTGCCACAATCTTAAAACAAGCCCAGAGAATAAGCAAAGAACAAACTGTTCCAGAGAAAGGAAGGTCTGCAATCTTGAATAATGATCCTTTCCCAAGAACCTTCAATTATTCTAAAAGGAAAGTACTAGGAGAGGAGGTAAGGTTAGACCAATTTGAATCGTCTTGAATTTTTACAAATTTTCAGAACTGATTCTGTGACCTTAAGGTACTCTAGATATAACTGGGTCCTTGACCAAAAAGAATCTCAAGCCTGTAACACCAAACACTGACTCACCAGAATAAGCAGTTGCCATGGTAAATTTAACCTTAGACTGTAGAAGAATCCAATGGCTGCTGTAAGGGACTGAAACAAAAATTTCGATTTCATTTGAATAAGAATACAATTTACTAGTAGTTTTATTGTTACAAATGGCTAACTTCTTGTACTTCTTGATACTCAATGTCACCAACGAGTACAAGCAAAGTTATTTACGATGGTCAACCCATGAACCAAAGCAAAAAATTGTTTGAGCAAATGTTTGATTGCTAAAGGAGGTATAACTTACTGGTTGTAACTTCATAAGGTCTGCCAATGATATGATAGCCACTAGTTCTTTTCTAAAACCTTTGACCTCTAAGAGTGACTAGAATCTAATTTCTCCTCAAAATAACACCCCTAAATCACACACTAAGGTCTAAAAGAATGAAGGAAATAATCACCAACTAAAGAAGCTCTTGATTGTTAAAGAAATTCTGCTTGTTAGCACCTTAGAAAATGTACTGTACAGAACAGCATAGAGAAGATGCAAACTTCTACTAGAGTGTAAAAGTTTAATCCATGTACCAGAAAAATGCACAAAAATACTCAATTTTCAATTCGTAAGCAGTGTCACAACAATATTGGACAAGCTAATACTCATTCACAAAGAGCAAAGCTTAACCCATCATTTTCTGGTCATCTCCAATAAAAAACCTTGGTCCATTTGACTCCCATACAAATGTACAGTGTGAACAATATTTGTTACAGATAACTATTTATGTGAACCAACCTGTACAAATTTAAACAATGCAAAAGCTGGAGCACTATCTTTTTCATACAGAGAACCCAAAATTGCATAAATCTGGGAGGAAAAAGGGAAAAAAAAATTTAATGTAAGATCATATTGAAATATTTGACAAAAGCCTAACACACTAGCCTGAGACAGTGGCCCAAACTAAATGTATCAATATAGTAAATCTATCCCAGTTTATGAAGCTGCTTGAACATTTCAACTCTACAAATCTCTTGCCACATACTGTATAAATGTCATCCAAGAGAAAGTTGCTCCCTAACAATATTGGTCAGGCTTCTTGGACAGTTTACCGAAATTCAGTTACACTCCTAGGCAGAGAGAGTCACTGCAAGAGTAATCTAATGTGTCCATGAACACAACACAGCAGACATTTAGACCAAATGCAAGTCCACTGCAGTTACCATTTAACCTTGGGACCTCTTTAAAAACTGGAATTGATTGTATATTGCCCTTTGACACGGGCAAGCTGCGCCAAAATGTCAAGATCACCACTGCTTGCCAAATAAATAGCTGTCCGTGTTTAGTATGAAACATCAAACAAGACAGTACCTGTGTATTAAAGCTACTATCTCCTAACCCCAGAAGGAAACCACAAAGCAAAGCAACAGGTAAGCTGCAGAAATAATAAAACATCAGTGTATTTATGACTTTTATACACCATAAGTCAACTTTTATTGCTATCAATGGAATCGAACCCCTTAAAAACAGTATGCAATTAAAAATTCTATGTAGAATCCATGTGGCCATGTACTGTTCAGTAATAGATCACAGATGACTTCAAAATGTGGAAAAAACAAAAAAGGTGACATGCAAGGTGCAGCCAAGTGTGTCAGCCATGGTCTTACCACATTTTAACATTTTCTGCAACCTATTACTGAACAGTCCCACACCAACATGGAATCTATTAATGTTGTAAAATAAAGTAGCAAAATGTGTTAACAGAGACATTGTCTGTGTGTCTGTTCTCTAATAGATCAAACAAACCCATCAAAATGCATGCATAATTCAACTTATGATATAATGCTTAATTTTGAGTATTGAAATGCACAACTGACAGTACGCAGTTGCAGTGTTGCAATTGAGCCGCATGTCAAAACCCAAAACAAGCTTGTGGTTGGTTTACTTAGTCAAAGGTTACTTGTAGTTGTTTCCCCACAGTATTACAGAGCAAAACAAAAGCTTGTTTGCAGACAGTGGTTTCTCTCTTTCTGAGCATTAGAGAAACCAACTCTTCACAGAATAGAAAGGTGTGAATTGATTACAGTGAGCTCAGCTCACAGGGGAAGACAGAAGATTAAAAAATATGAGAACACTATTGAAGCCTCTCTGAAAGATGTACTTACTTGGGCCCTTTTGGAAATACATGGTAATTCTCTCCTCCTGATACTGGTCCGCTAGGAGCTCTCTCAGGAATGTTGAAAAAGATAAGAAGAAAACAAATCCAGTGAACAAGTGCTCCAAAAAGGACAATGGGTTCTCTGCCAAACTTGTTACTTCTTTTGCCAAAGATTCCAAATATAAGGCCACCTAACAATGAGACAATCAAAGACAAAATAAGAGTTTAAAACACCATTCACTAAAATGTAATAGGCCTATTGATAGTTAACCATTTAGTCATACAATAATATTGAAGAATTATTACAAGCACATGCACATATTGATAACAAATCCTTTCTACTGACTTACTTTGAGGGCCAAAAAGAAAAATTGTCACATATGACCAGTACATTGCATGGAATTTACTTTAAATATTTTCAATTTTCGTAGTACAGAAAATGTAATTGAACTAAAATTAGAAGATGCTTAAAAAGGGCTTTATATATTACATAAAAAAATTCAAGACTGCTGAAGTATATCAAAATAACAGACAACGATCTTGAGCCTCTTACCAATTATCTCACCACAACCAATGAGCATTCCCACCAATCCAATTTGACGTTTAGAATTGGGGAAGAGAAGTGTGTTTCCTTTCAGCATAAAAAAAATTAACTTACAGTTGTATCCAATTGCCTTAACATAATTGTAATTAATAATATATATCAAAGCAATAAGCATCAATTAATTGTAAATTTTCCTACGAACAAGTATAGATAAACGTGAACTGTAAATTAGTGGCACATTACCCACAAAATACATACACATTCTCCACCCAAAAATATTATCGATCCACTTTACATTGCAGAATTATATACAACCAACAAATACTACTCTGATCAGTCATCAAATAATATGGAAAATTTTGCACTCCAGTCACAGGAACAGAAAATAATTACTGTACCAATAGGGCCAGAGGTTTGTTAGACTTACCAACACAAGTGCCATACACACCACTAAAAAATGTGAGCTCAAGACCTGCAACATAAACTCACAATTATTTCAGAGAACTGTAAATGTTGCAATTACACATAATCCAAGGTCAAAAATTGAATCTGTTCTAATGATATTCTGCTCCCCAATTTGAGTTTACAGTTTTAAACTTACAGAATTTTAAAAGCTAGCAACATTTTAATGCATTATTTTGTGGCTGTAACAAAAAGACAGGTAAACAAACCTGTGTATGCAAAGCACAAACTGAGGAAAAACATATCCTTTGTGAAAAACAGTCTTACAGCAACCTCTACAAAAAAAAAAAGGTAAAAAGAAAACCTTCAGAGATGCAGAATTTTACATACAAAGCACACAAAATCCATAAGGGAAACATTTACTGTTAGTTATTCAAACACCTATTTTTAATAAGCTGTGTATCCAACTCCATGGAATAATTTCATGCCATATTAAACTTTTAACCCCTGGGAGTGATAAGCATGTAATTTCTCCCAACCATATCATTCCTGAAGCAAAAATTAGAGTCCTGAGAATAAAGGATATAATCATGAACTCAAGAAACTCTTGATTGTGGGACAAATTCTCCTGGTACATGTAATTACCTCTGATAGGAAATATATAGTTCTAAAACAGTGTGAAGACCTTGCAAACTGACATATTGATGTAAAGAGTTATTAACCCTTTAACTCCCAGATCAAAGTTTTAATTCTCCTTACTGTCAACCATACAATTCTTATAAAGTTAGTTCAGAGAATTTGGTGTTGGATCAACTAGTTATCCCTAAATTGATATTTTTCTTTATTCTCATCACTTATCTGGTTGATATTGTATTGATATTGTAAGGAGAAATTCTGTCTTGGTCACTCATGGGAGTTAAAGGATTAAAAGGAAGAGTATTCATCAGACAAATTATAAGTAAAAGCTTACTGAGTGACTCCAGGGCACCTCTTCTCTCAGTGCTGGGAAGTTGCCTGAAAAGATTTCAGTCAATAAATTCAGAAGAATATAGTACTTGGTAGTCAAGTCATGCCACAATGCATGTTTAGAATGCAGTGTAATTCATTAACCTATAAACACCCACAGATAATAGAAAATAAAACTCTTCATTGCCATGATGTAAAACAACAGTTATTGTATGAACCAAACCACATTTTGTTTACAAACTGGAAGCTGCTTGTAATGAGTTAATAAACAACTTAGTGTTTAAGGATGGAAATTACTCACTAAAGCAATGCTCTCACCTGATATTTTGACTTAATTCTCTTTCATCATTGTCATTCTCATTTACCTCTAATGGCTTTGAGGGAACACAAAATATCAATTAAACTTAAGATTTATGTCACAAGACAAATAGTCAAATGACTGATGAACTGCATGAAGAGTTGTCCAAGTTTGAATCAGTAAGAGCAAAAATGATACCCTTATGACAATTTTGGGTTTTAGCAAATATATTCAGAAATGGCTCTAGTCTTAAACATTTTAATATGAATTCAAATTTCTAATTTAGTGTTAATGAATGTCACTATGAGCAAATTATTGCTTTCTTACCAAACTTGATGGTCTCCGAAGAAGGAACAACAGACATATTCCTAAACCACACACAGTGGTGAATACTGTATACACTGTCCTCCTAACCGTGTCACCTACAAGAAAAAGAAAAGCACATCAAATTTAATTTTTTCACAAGACAAAAAAATTTAAAAGCTTAATGGTAAGAAAAATCAGGCTACAAAGAAAGCATTTCAACTTCATTTTTTCAACTCAATTCCAACAGATTGCTGCGAGAGAAGGAGTAAATTACAAGAATGATGGTAATCAGCAGAAAAAAAATTCCAAAGACAGGATACTGATTGATTTACATGTCAAACCAGTTTCTTAGAGCTTAAATTATAGGTAATGGAGAATCAAGAGAGAGAATGACCGTGGAACTGGAGTAAATGTGTTAAAAAGGTTAGGGTGTTAGGTAGTTTATAATTGCAATCATTCTCATTTTTATAAAAAAGGAATTTCTTACAATTTACATTTAAGAAGAATGATCTGCAACTGTCACAGGTTGGAGTAACAATTAATTTGTACACTTGCTGGGAGTGTATGTGAAAAGCCAGCAGTGAAGGCCTCTGCAGGGTTAAACACTCACACGCATGTTGACACCACGTATACATGATCAATGCAATGTACTTGTATAGGAATTGGAATCTTGAGCAAATGAAAAAGGAAGCTGACTTACTGATTCCTCCCACTTGAGTCTTAAACTGAAAGTAAACATACATGTTCCCAAAGAGCAAGCTGCAACAACAGAAACAGAATAGATTAGTTTTGACTTTTGCTCATTCCTTCAATCATGAGTTTTGAAATCAACCAAGGTTCTCAACCTGAAAAAAGGGAATAAGGAGGAGAACTTAATTTACACAAGTATTGCAGAAAAAACCAAACCAAACTTTCATGTACAGCTTTTGACTATGACGATGCCTCTCATATCAGCCATTTAGACATCAAAAGACCTGTAAACAACCCAACCCCTGACCTCAATTGAAATCTCTTCTACTAAGCCTTGCCTAGATTTAACCAGAAACAAATGAGAACAATTTTTGAGCAGTCTTCAATAGATCAGAAAGCTTCAGTCTACTGTATATGATTACCAAAATAACTTACTGTACCTTACTGTAGACCTCACTGCCAGCTATTTCCACAGTGCATTCTTATCTGTGTTTGTACCAACCATTTAATCAATGAGAGTCTTGCAGTAAAACACTTACCTACACTGGAGCAACGCCCAAAAAATGCCACTGTTTCTTGAGATTGTTTCAGGAGTGGAATTCATTGTAAGAAAGGTACCTTGACCCGTCCATATTACTATCAATAGAGAAATTATGCTTTTTAGAGATGATTTGTGATAATCATTTCAACCTATGAAAGTATAACACTCTACCATGTAAACACCTTCTGGATTGAAAAAGTAAGCTAGAAATAAATTTGACTAGTAAAACAGACAATAAACACACATCATTGCACTAAGCATGCCGTACTGGTACACATCAGTCAAAAAGAAGATGAAGAAGCAACTTACCGCTTGCTCCATATCCAATAATAACTGATCCTGTGTATACACTCCATGCCATTGGTTCAATGAGGCTTGCTATAAACAGGCTGAAAGATAGTAAGATGCATCCTCATAAAAAAAATAGATTTTATCTGTCAAGCTCATGCTATCTCTCAGACCATGGTTGTTCAAAGGTTGAATAATGTTACCCAAGGGACAAATCTTTATCTGATGGATGGCACAGTGCATTTTCTTAGCACTCATCAGCTGTTGCAGGATAGTGATTTGTCCATTTGGTAGTATTACCAGCCTTTCGAACAAGTAGGGTTGGGTTAAAATTTCTTTCAGTAAGATCTAGCACCTGCTAGAGCTACACTGGATACTCTTTCCCAAATAACTGCCAAAGGGTGTGATGAAATTTCTTCCACTTTGAAACTCAGTCTAAGGTAACTGACTAATTAATGAAACTTTGAGTTGATTGATGTATTATGTTGGATGACCTCACCAGGATCAGTTAATATTGCATTGCATAAAAAGTATTTACAGCCGTACCCCTAAAATTATACAGGTCAGTGGTACTTAATATCCTAATTAAGATAAAAATATAGCAATTATTTCTTACGCATAGCAGATCCCTCCAACAATCATTGAAACTCTTGGTCCAAATATCCCCACAAAAGAAGGTGCCAGCCAGTTAGCCAACGCAAAAACTGCATAGATGATACCCTGGCTATAAATAGAACATTTTTCATAAATCAATTTTGACCCTTTAACCCCTAAGGGTGACTAGTTTCTAATTTCTCCTTACAATATCACCCCTGCATTACACATTAGGGTCATGAGAATAAGGAAAATGATCACCAGCCAATGAAGACCTTGACTGTTGAACAAATTCTCCTTGTCAGCACCTTGATAAATGTATAGAGAACAATACAGAGAATAAGCAAACTGATGTAAGGGTGCCAGAAGTGTTACTATACATGCAAGTATCTTCCTACCTTATATAGCCATTGATATGTTCTGAAACAAAAATAAAAACAGTTCTAAATATCAGAACATGTCTTGATTTATGACTGGTACAGTACATGCATAACATGGAATGTTATTTCAGTCAGACTTCTGCCAATGATTATGAATTCAGTCACAATTTTGTACTTTGATTGATTGATAATTATAAACAGCAAAAAAGTTCCTACCTCCCTACATGTATATTAAACATAAATCAAAGGTTAGTTTTACCAATGCAGTCTGTTTTTGTCAGTTTTTTAGTTCATAAAGAAAAAGAGAGAATTTTTTTTACACATAAATGTGACCGTGTATATTCACTTCACATGGCATATCACTAGGTTTTTACTTACTTTCAGGTTTTTCAGGGTATTCTTTGCTGGTGAAATTCTGTAGTACAGTTGGCTGGTGAAGTAAAAAGATTTTGTTGACTTTAGCAGCCCAACACCAAGACCAGAATGTTTGTCAGATATTGGTGCACACTAGTGTGGGAAGCTTTCACAAAGCTCAAAATCTTTCTCTCACAGTGTTCCACAGCATGAAACCAACTGAAAGTTTTTCTTTTGTCCAACTTAAAACTAGATTTTCCCAGGAACCAATTGGAATATCAAAAAAGCCTTACACACTTTGTTAGCCTATTATCTGCTGAGTGGTACTGTCCAGTTTGTTTTGAGGTCTGCGGTACTGCAGAGGTTGGTTATATTCAGTAAAGCAAACACTGTCATTGTTGTGAATAAAGGGGTAAGTTTCTAAAGAAACTGTGGTGCTGCGTCGGTGGGAGAGTATAGCAGGTAATTTAGTGTTAACAACTGGGTTGAAAACGTAAATTAGCCACCGTAAAGAGTAAAAAAGCTGACGTTTCGAGCGTTAGCCCTTCGTCAGAGCGATTAGAGCGTAATCGCTCTGACAAAGGGCTAACGCTCGAAATGTCAGCTTTTTTACTCTTTACGGTGGCTAATTTACGTTTTCAACCCAGTTGTTAACACTAAATTAACTGTCATTGTTGTGTTTGGAGGTTAGTGCGTGCCTATCAGAAAAACTGTGATAATTTTATGAGCTTAACAGTGATATCTAGTTTCAAATGGTTTCTTCAAAAGCAGAGCACATAGGACGATTTTTTCCGGAATGCAGTCTATTTTGTTGTCAGTAACCTTTAGGTTAAAAAATTTGGAAAGATTTCCTTACAACCCTAACTTTTAAAATACAGAGCCTTCATCCTATAGGTAAACTATCACATTTCACCATAGTTTTATAAAATTTAACTGTGTGCATAATTAAGTATGGGGTCACGACGTAATCTCGTCAGAAACTGTTAACTTATTATAGTTCTACAACTTCCCTAAAAATAGGGTGTTACATACCGATGAAAGTGAAAACTACATCATAAATTTCCTTAGTCACAAATTTGGGTCCTTTAAACCGAAGAAAGCGCGTAAATCCATTCGATCCTCTTAATCCATATCGTTTCTCACGTAAAGCTTCTGATCATGGCCACATCAATGGAACAAATAAGGGCTTTAAATGAGGTCATTTCAATGATTACAGACCATGTGCAATTCACTTCCTTCGTGCATCACGTGAATTTACCGCCAAAAAAAACTCCCTCTCTTGGAATACTGTGTCAATTTCATGCGAGAGTGGATGCAGATAAATTATAAATGGACTTACCTCGATCATGCTCGTCGTTTGAAAGGCTGTGAACATAAACATAAAGGAAAAGCCCATGACAAGGACATTCCACATCCCTACATCGTTCGCCATCTTGTTGAAGAAGTGACAATTTTTATCGCATGCTACCCTAGAAAGGTTGAAGTTATGATATCAAGCACTAGCTTTTAGCCCTTTAAAAATCACGAAAATATTCACAAAGTATAAAATAACAGGTATCAATGAATTATAAGTTGCATTATGGTATTCCTCTTTTTAGGTTTAAGGATCAGACGACGTAGAAAAATATTGAAAATCAAAAATCTCTCGGGTGCCCACGGGATAAGTGTGCCCGGGCACAAGGTTAGTCACATGACAATATTTTCGTGTCATGTCACTGTGAGATAGGTTTCGCAGCGAGTGAGGTAAGTGTAAAACTTTTCGTTTCAAATTTTCATGAAGAAAGTAAAACTTCTGTCCAAGAAATATTGCTTTAAACTTGATTCGTAAATTACATAGGAATGAGTAGTCATTTTTGCATGGTTTTGGATGATCTGTTACGGCAGTTAAGAGATGTATAATCGATAAGAAAAATTCGATGTTAATTCTCAAAAAATGTCTCCAGAGCAACGTTCATCTGCCTCTTTAAAATTTTCCTTTCAAGTTAGCTCAAGGTGTCTATTGTGACAATAATCGATGAAGTTCCTTTTCTTTTTCTTTATTTTCCTTTGCATTAGCAAATTGTTTTCATTGTAATTATAAAAATCAGAAGACTCACTCCGCACAGCTGATCTGCATTTTTAATTGGATGCTCGATCCTTACCCGGAAAGGGAAGATTTCCGTATAATTCCATACTATTCTCTAACAAAGCCTTGGTCTTAAAGGTGATCTATTATTGTCGCCATTGCTTTAGTTTATCCTGGAACTGTAAGTACAATGAAGTATAGGGTGCAGAATTCTTGCCCTCGAAAATTCCACACAATGGAAATCTGCTAAAAGAATAAAAAAAAATTAAAAAGCAAGGGCTGGTTCACACACATGTAAGTTGGGAAAATCCCAGTCAGTTGGCATTTTGCTGTTTCCCAAACACCCCAGCCTTTAAACCATTATATTGGGAGATTGCTAAGCATTTGTCATAATGGGTTACAGGAACCATTTTATTTGTGACTTGGGGGTACTGGAGGAATTAGAGAATTGATAGCAAGCTAAAACTATGGCAAGATCCCCTCCATTTAAAACAGGAGTATGTATATATCTTCAATGACTGCTGATCATCACAGAAATCTATGTTGGATCAGAAAAATATGAATACCTCCCCACTCCTTCCGATTTTCTCAAATTGTTGCCAACCATCCCAGATCATTGGGGTTGTCTACAATTTTGAGTTTCAGTTGTTGAAAAACTCTGGGACAGTCAGGAAACAGTATAACAGATTGCAAGCAAGTACACAATGTTGAAAGATTTTTTTTTTATCATAATGGTAAATTTTTCAAACATCGATAAGTTTGTATTGGCTACTATAATTAGGAAATACCTGTTAATAAGGTTTTTTACTATGACTAAATAAGTAAATTGGGAGATATTCTTTCCAGTTTTGCCTTTTAAAAGCTCCTTACTCTGACATTACTTCAATTTGTAGTGGTTGAAAAGTACAAGATTACAATGTCAGCTCCACCACCATACTACCCTCCAGACCCCGGACACCAGGGAGGTTATCAGGTACCACAGGCTTACCAGCAAGGTCCTTATCCAATCACAACTCCTCCTCAACCAGGATATGCACCCAGTAAGTTAAAATTATATACAGTGTCAGTTGAAGGACTTTTAAATGTTAGCTCGAAAATCCTTCTAGATTAGATTAGTGATGTATCAGGCTACAAAGAAACTGATTTAGGGATAAAGATATGCTTGTAATGAAACAACTGGAGTGATAGAATGGACAAATGGAAGTGATCATTTGACAAACAAATGTCATATAACAACTAGCCAGGTCCAGCATATGGTCTGGGGCTAAGTTAGTCATTCCCCTTAAGAATATGAACCATGTAACTTTTCCCTGTAATATCCATATTATCCAGCAATCAGGTAATGAGAATACTCGAACTCATCATATCAAAGTATTTATAAAGATATAACACCATATTCTTGCAACTAACTTACAAGGAAATATGTACCAGCTAGAAAAGAGAATTAACAGTTAGATCCTGGGATTATAAGGGTTAAAGCACAATCTTAAGCAGTCCATTACTCCAGCCAGGTTATTGCATAAATTAATAGTGGATGCACTAGAACATAATCAGGAATACTTCAAAAATATTTCCCAGCTTGCTATGTAGAGATGAAGATTTAGTTACTGGGATCTTAGGCAGTTACAGATTTCTGTCTCTCTTTTTTTTTTCTCATGACAGTAATTGGCACCTGTTCCCCTTGTTCTAAGAGATTGACTAAGCTTACTTGGATTATTCTTAGAGGATGATCAAACTGTACAAATTTAAGTGCAGCTTGCAATTGAACAGATCAAATTTAAAGTAATTATAACATTTATCACAACCATTACAAATTCCTCAAATATTATTGGTGCATTTGCAGCTTCATTTTTCACTAATCATTCTGTACAGTTGTAACTGGACAGAGTAAACGGACAGGTGGCTGTAATTGGACACCTGTTATTGGACAGTTGAAGCAGCCAATCATAATAAGTCCACTCAGCTAATCCACCAATCACAGAAATGATCAAAATAAACATTAGATAGCAACAACCACATATCCAAAGAAAAACTGGGGAATTTCCAAAATGGAGGAATTTTTAACCAAAGACATTGTCTCGACTGGAGATATTTGTTTTAGGTACCGATATATTTGTTTTTTGGAAATTGAAATCATTATGATTAATTGGTAACAGGACTTCTTGTCACTCAATTCTGTCTACAGGTAATCATATTGTTATTTTGTTAATCACTCATATGATTACAGACCAAATTGAACTCCACTTGGTCCTATTATTGTAATTATAAATAGCCATTCAGAACAAAGGAGGTAGTGTGGCAAGTTTAAGTATTGTGTTAAGTAGCATGAAGGAATGGAAGTCCTGAGAGGTATTAAATTTCTCTGATTGGTTGAGAGGGTGGTAAAAGATTTACAGACCAGTCACAGAGAACATTTAAGAAAAACCAGGGTGCAATCATAGATTACTCAGTAAAATGCTGTGACTGTTATTTTTTGTATTCATTTGATGCAAGGCTACAATGACTCACACAAGTCTGAGATGTCGTCCTGTTTGAAAGTTACCAGACACCACATTTTCTATTATGTAATGGTGAAGATCTTTATTGATCTCTGCACAGGTTATCATGAAGGAGCTCCACCAGGTTACCAACCTTTGCCAGCAAATGTGCCTCCAACAGCGTATGTCTATATTCGAGGGAACTGCCCAGCATGCCACACAGGAACACTTGAGGACAGTTGCACTGCTCTTGGAGTTTGCTTAGCCATCTGCTTCTTCCCTATTGGTATTGTCTGTTGCTTGATGCTCACTGAAAAGAGATGTAACCACTGTGGAATGAGTTTCTCATAAATCAGCCATGTGTACAGCAAAGCACACTTTTTTAGATTGGTATAAAGCCAAAAATATTGTCTTATTTGTATTTATGATTATAGCCAAGGGTATACCTCTGATAGTAGCTATGATTGTTCCTTATCTCAACACATTTTCCAGGACTTGACAGCAGCTCCAGAGAAGAGTGCTGGGAAATGATAATAATTTTTAAGGGATTATATTCTGTAGTTCCCAGGTAGAGTTGAAACAGTATACGAGGAAGCAAGTTCACATGCACAGTATACTGACTCCATTTTTCAGTAACATCAGAAAAAGCAATTGTCCTTAGAAGGACAAGATTTTTTTCAAAAAAACAAGAAGGTGGTAATGGGTTTATATGTGATGTGTGATTAACTCTTTAACTCCTAGGATCTGATTGTTAATTCTCCTCTCTAGCTGCTACACATTTCCTTGTAAACTAGCTGCAAGAATTTGGTGTTAGATCAAGATAACAGCTTAACTTGATAAGTTTGTGTATTCTTATTACCTGCTTGTTGGTTAATGTATGGTTATTAGAGGGACAAGTCACACTTTAATCACTTCTGAGAGTTAAAGGGCTAATTACGACCAAAATTAATATTTGACTTGGGAATTTTACATAAAGGTGAGAGGGATTTGTGAATTTTGTAAACCAGTATGAGGCATGATTTGCCTCTTTAAATTAAAGTTATGTGTGAATTTTTTTCTTTCATTTTTTGATATTTAATCTTAAGATTTCTGTGAAACCTAGGACAATTAAGAAGAGCAAGTTTTACCTTGAAATTTCTATGCATGCTACCCTCAAACAACTAGTTGTTCATGCTGATGAACATGTAATTTAAATGTTTTTGGCAGGAATTGATACAATGGCAGTTCAAATTAATGTAACTAACTTCGGAGTGAGTGTCACTTTCCTTCATGAACTTAAGTTATAATAAGTAAAATGTACAGTTATTGAGCAGAATTTAACTCCATCATGGGAGTAATTTTACAATGTTATAGTTTGTGAAACTATAAAATAAAAATATATCGTAACAGTGTCTAACAAATCCAATGTAAAAAAGAGTTCCAAATACACTAAGTAAATACTAATGCATTGATCAATTTGACGCTTCAAAATCTCCTTTTTCCTTGGAAATTGAACTTTTGAAGATTGGTTCGTTCAAATTCTTGCCCTCCTGGGCCAAAATCTAGCTCAAATGCCCCACCCAAGAGCTGGATTTGACTGTCAATTTTCCTGTAAACACCTCCATTTAAAGATATACCACATTTCTTCTTCTGGAAAGACTTGACAGTTCCTGTTCAAATTTCCCATCCTACCCAGGCAAGCTCTGACGAAGGGCTAACGCTCGAAACGTCAGCTTTTTTACCCTTTACGGTGGCTAATTTACGTTTTCAACCCAGTTGTTAACACTAAATTACCTGCTATACTCTCCCACCGACGCAGCACCACAGTTTCTTTAGAAACTTACCCCTTTATTCAAGGTTCTAATTCCCTTCCCCACCTGGCATGGATAGCAGATGAACATGTCCACAGGTTTCAGGGTGGAGAGGGGGGGGCGATGTGGAAGCTTGTTATTGATATGCACACAATATACTGAGTAAACTCAGTGCTCTTAGAATTGAGGTCTGTTTAATTTTTTGTTTGTTTATTTGTTGTTGTTGTTTTTTCAATCTTCCTAATCATTTTAAACAACATATGGCAGTTTGCGGTCTTTCCCTACATCTAGACAGTTCGGAAAGCCACATAACTTAAGAACAACAATTTATCTTCCAAATCGGCACCCTTAATCCCCACGGTGTCAACGAGCCCTTTTCATTCAACTAATTTATTCTTGTTTTCTCGTTACCATAATCCCACCGATAGCATAGCTCTATTTTCTGCATAGAGACCCGCACACAACCCAAAATTCCTCCAATTGCTCTGACGAAGGGCTAACGCTCGCAACGTCAGCCTTTAAACTCTTTCCGGTGGCCAATTTACGTTTTCAACTCAGTTGATAACACTAAATACTTTGTAACAATTTTGTCACTCCACGCACACTCTCTTAATCTTTGATATTTTTAAGTTACCTCATCGCAATAACAACAAGCAGAAAATTGAATTTCATAACCATCTGAATTTCAAACACTCCTTATAGGTGTTTCTAATGAGGAAAAGCATGGCAATAGCTTCCAGTTCAGTCAAATTGTTCTTTGATTATTTACTTGTTGGTTGTTCATTTATTTTTGTTTTTACCAAGTTATTTTGATTTGAAAGAGGATGAGCATTTCAAGAAACATACCGGATACCCCAAGCACAACGCTAAGAAAGGTGCAGTGAAGCATTTTTTTTTTTTATGGGCCTTGGACAAAGAAAAAAGACTGATGAGAACCCCTAGTGGTGATTCGAACCTCGTGCAGTCAGTCCCAGCTGGGTGTCGATGGGTGGGAAATTTCCACGGCCCAAATAGAAATGTTAAACTCACTTCTCCCTCTGTTGCCATTTTGTAACGTGCAAGCATATTTTATAACCAGTCTACCATGGCAGAAAATTTTTCTGGTACCACTTTTCGATCTAGCTTGGTTGTCGTCCACAATTGTGACAGTCGCCAAGGGTTCCTGTTCACTTCCTCTTCTTAAAGTAATTTCGACATTAGAACTCGAAGCTTGAAGAAGGTCTTAAATCTGTCCTTAATACGTGATGCTATACTGCTTGTGTGTTCATGTTTCCCGATCCTTTGCACTCAAGCTCTGATCCTTCGATTAGGGTTCCCCTTTTTTCTTTCCAGTCTTCTATTCAGATAAACGTTGCGGATTTTCAGATGGTCAACCCTGAAGAATAAATATAAAAGTCGAGCTTTTACGGCGAATTTTCAGCTACATATTGTCAGGCTTGGGGACATTACGAAACGTCCCTCCAACATTGCCCATGAGCGTTGCGTGACACATCTGAAAAAGTTTGTAGACTTTGAGCTTGCATTCTTTTCTGAATTTATTGATATTTGAGACGGCTGTAATTTCAATGATAAAAAGGTCTTGAAAAACTGAGACCTTTCTGAGATTTTTGGAGGGCAAAGAGCAGCTTTACATAGGCTATTTACTCTTATGTACAACTTTCTTGTGAATCATCAAGAGAATTTGGTAATTAATCGAGAAACTGTTCTCCAGCTGATCGATATCGATAAGTAAAATTATTTCTCCGATTTCTCTCTCTAGACCTTGTTTCACATTCAAGTATTTCAATTTTTATGATAATTTTTACTTTAGGCACGGGTTAAATGGCTGATCAAGAAAAGAAATGAAAAGTAGAGAAAGAGATCTAAAAAACGAAACATCAAGGCCGGCTGTTCAAGTGGTTTTCAGGTAAACATGGACCTGCTAAATTTCTTGATTTTCATTATCGAACCCCTTTAGAACTGCAATTAAGTGTTTAATGTAAACAAAAACAAATTTTTTCTTCACAAACAAAAGGCCATCTACAAATGCAATAACGGCAGGTGATTCAATTGAAATCCGCCAAAATCCCCTCTTTATCGGCTCATCTCAATTATAACACTTAAATTCGCTCGCACGTGAAAACTTTTATATATAGCGGATACGCTTAGAGTAAGCCGAATTAGAGAGGGTCTTTATGTTAGAAAACCAAATGCTGCACTTTGAGTTATAATCGTCTGAATCTTGACAATTTAAGCTTTTAAGTCCACCTTCCAAATTGCACTTTTACCTGTCCAAACAAAGGAATGCAATAAGATCCTGGGTGTAATTTTCTGCTGCTGACCAGTCGAAGGACCGATAGGTTTTCCCTGCATGAAATCGAGACAGCCGGTATACTTGTAAACTTTCGCAACATAATTGAAGCGAATCACTGCAAAAATAATTCTCGACGATGGATTTCGAGATAAAAACTGAACAGGAGCTTCACGATATTACGATATTGACCTTCCAGGTAAGGCTGATAGCCTGTCTGTTCGTTGTCAAGCAGCTTTCATGTTGACTGTCCCATTTGCTTACTGGTGCAGAATGTCATCGACATGTCCGTGGTACTCAAAGAGCTCTCCATGAGCGCCAAGAATTATCTCAAATCGCTACAAAGTAAGCATTTCCTACAGCAATTTTATTCGAAACAGCAAATTTGCTAGCTTATGTTTCCATAAGAGATCGTTGCCAAGTGTTACACCTTTAACTCTTGTTTTCAGATGTTCGACAGGCAGCGACTTCGTTCTACGATTCCTTGTCCAAGGTATCACACATGGCTGGGCAGTCGAAAGGAACTGCGCGTTCCCTCGGTAAATGTGAAAACATTTTTCGATACTTTTGAGATTCATAAAATGATTCATATATTTTAAGCTATTGTGATCGAAATTTTCTTTTGATTTGTTTATACTTTCGACAGAATAATTAAGTCCTCATTGTATTATAAACTCGCATAGGGGTTCAACTCCGAAGTCCGAAGAAAAACAGCTTTAATAATCTTTTCTCCAACAAAGTGTCAAAACACAGCATTTTAACGCTTGATCAGTCGATCGTAAACAAAAATTGCCCGGTCGAGCTTCAAACGTTGTAGTAAGAGTAATTATTGTTCACAGCCACAACTACCTTAGTTTATTGTTAAGGATTCAAGTTGTATGAATTTACTAATTCGGCGCGTTGCTGAAACTTGTTACTGCCTCGTCATTACAGCGTTAGATTTTAGATCAATGCTTTTTTATTTGGAAATTAAACGCCACCATGCTTAAGTGGTACTAAAACGTTTTTCAGGACGGTAGAAAATCTCTCTGACATTCAAGATTGTGGCTTCCAAATATCGATAACACCAGGTCGACGAAAATGCTTCTCTCAGCGATATTTATAGTGATGAATAAATTTTAATGGTGTTATCTGTGTTTCTGGTAAATTCACTTGTTTGTATACTAAACAGTCGATTGCAATGTCCTTGACACAATTGGGAAGTTTTGTTTAAATACTGTTGCGGTAAATGGCGAACTGAAGTTCGAATTGCTTGTCATCAATTTTTCATTCTTTCAAAAAAGAATGCTGAAGGTGGCAATGTAACATGTACGCCACTTTCTAATGTCAAAGTATTTATTTCTGTTCAGTCTTTCTAAAATTTATTATAACATGAGGCAAGAGCTAATGTTACACCTTCTGGATTTAAAAGCTAGACTAGAGCAGCACTGTAATGAAAAAATGATTCTCAAACTTTACATAACTTTTGAGTCTGAATATTTAAAATTGAACATGTGTCTCAACATGTCCCTATAGATGTATTCCACTTGATGTGGATTCGGGGAATTTGATTATTACGTCAGATTGTCAATGCAAAATTATTGAGATTTTAGTCATACCCTTGCATGAAGTAAGAATGGCTATTGATTGTGGTAAATTTCACGAGGGCTTTAGTAGAGGAGACCAGTCTGAGTCTGTTATTTGGCAAACTAGAAGTTATCTTGATTTAAGCGGCAAGACAATTCATGGAAATAATTAATTGTACAGGCCTGGGTTGTTCATAGCTGGGTTAAGGTAACCCAGGGTTAGTGTGAAATTTGATTTCAGGTCTGAAAGCTTTAACAGGAAATTCAGTTCAAATCTTTTTGCTTGCAATTTGATCATTGGATGTTCTAAAAAGAATAGTCAAAATTTTCCCAAAAGACTTTTGGACAAAAAATTTAACTTAATTTAAAATTTAACCCTGGGTTAGGGCTAATCGGCCTTTGAACAACTGGACCCAGGAAAACAAATTATTTGATGACATGGACTCATGCTCTATAATAAAGTTGAGAATTTGTCCTATTACCATCCAAGAAAGATTAGCAATGATATTGCAGTTGACAATAAGCCAATTGATACTGGAAAAAAAGTAATTGTTGGTTTGATTCCCAAAATAGTGATGACCAGTTCTTTGTTGGAGAGGCAGACTATGCCCTCTTCAGGAAGATATTGTTTACGGAACACCCATTAGATTGGTATCACATGTTTGTCTTTAATCTTTGTGTTATTTTGATTTGCCAATATCACTAGAGAAAATATTATTATAGCAACCACAATGAAATTTGTGTGTGAAAAATTGAACAGTTTGTATTAAAAACTCCATAGTTAAGGCAACCACATATTTTTTAATATTGCCAAATTACTGGAGTGTTGGTTGGCTCAATGTATGGAAAAGAAAGGTGTAATGTAGCTACCATATATCTGGAGACTTAGAAAGTTTGAATTTACAATGCTATTTATCAATCAATGCCCTGTAAATGTAGAGACAATATTTCCTGAAAAGGAGGAGAAAAGGGGTGGAGGGTAAGGAATGAAGATTTGGCAAGTGCTGCATTTAACATGTTTCTAAACTTGAAATCATGTTTGCAATGAATGTAATCCCATTCTGCGTGATACATGCAGGATTGTCATAGTATGATTTGAACTGAATAGGTCAGTAAACTGAATTATGCTAACATAAAAGTAACAAACATGGCATGTGGCTATGCAACACTCTCTTATTGGAAAAAATGTGGAATTGATACTCTCTGAGACAAGAATTTCTAGCATTTTAAAATGTTTGTCATGAGTTACCCCTTTGAGCCAGACATTAATTTAGAATAATTTTAAAATATTATTCTTATTTACTTTCTTTGATCACAATTCATTTAGTACCTGGTGCAAAATGGCCTCACAACCTGCTGGTTTTCATTGCCTGTTGGCTGCCTATGATAACCCTGTGCATGCATACTCTCTGAATGTGATGCATTTTCATGTAAATGGTTTACGTGACTTTTGTTGTTTGTTGAGCACAGGACCCATCATTGCTGATCTGGTAATTGTCAAGAGGGAGGAGGAAACTAGACAAAGTGATGTGGTAATGACAACTGTTTTATAAATGATTATTTATAGACACATTTAAGGGTAACATAGTGTGCTCCCAATCCTGAGGACCTCTCTTGTGTAGGGTTATTTGCAGTTAGGTAGCATTAAGAGACAAGAAGTATTTCTACTCTTCCTGCATAGAATGCTACTCTGTTGCTGAGAGATGGAAGGGTGGTCCAACAAATTGAGGCCACTAGCTAGAGCTCAAACTTTATCGTAAGGTTGGAAGTCCAACACATTTACCACAAAGATACAGTATTTTTCTTAATTTTTTAATGAATTGTGGGAGAAAATGCCATGGAAGTACCAAAAAAAAAGGCAATATTGGATGTTAATTCTGTAAATGTTGTGGTTCAGATTTTCAACTGTTAAATTTTCACTTTGAGTTGGAATGCTGAAATTTGAAATAAGGGAAAAATAGGCAGAATAACTTGGTTTGTTTTCCTTTTTTTAATTAAGCAAATTCTTGAGAAATGTGTTAAGAATAACTGATTTGAAAACCTCTCCAGGTCATTAACATTTGCTATGAATAAAAGACTAGGATTAAATGAATTTGAAACCTCTAATCATCTCATACTTATCAAAGGGATAAATAGCTTTATTCATGTTTATATTGTTGTCCTTTTTTAGAATCCAGCTTTAGCTTAAAGCATGTACATGTGGATCTTGCCCTTTAGATAATCTTATCACCTTAATCATAGTTAACGCCTCATTAGACAAATATTGTTGACTTTACAAAACAATGAATTTATTGTTGTATATCAAATATCTTGCATCAAATGAACTCCATTGACAAGAATTTGTTATTACAAACCTTGTAGTATCTGCAGAACAAACATCTTCTGTGTACAATGCCAAATAGTTTTTGCACTAAGGAAAAAAGTGTGTACATAAGAAATCCAAGTATTTTTTATTGCATGTATTGAAATTGAGTCAGAGAAATCATAACCCACTGAGTTGCCTATTGTAAAGTCTATCAGGAAGGTTTTGAATTAGCTTTCAACCAAAAAGGTCAACTAATGCCTTCTTCCTTTTGTGGTAAAACTCTTCTATGGCTTCATGTGCTTGTGATTCTTAAAGTTTAGTTAACACAAGATCAATGTTCATTTTGACCCATAATTAATTTTTGATAACCCAAATGTTCTGCAATGATTATACTCTATACCAAGTTTATGTAAGCATAGAACTTAACGATTCTCACATAATTACTATAATAAGTAACACTTGTTATCACAGAAATTTAATCCCAGACTATGTTTAAACAGAGAATGGGTGCCTCAAGTGGTTAACAGTTGTCTTGTGGTGATTTTTGTAACTCTTCACAGCTTTGTAGTTGTAGCTCATCCATTGCAAAATGATTCTAATCACCTTGTGTTGGGGAATTAGAACAAAGATTTAATGGCTAACTAGAATGCTTGGATCTCTGTTATCACAGCAAAATTGTGCTACTAAAGATAACCATTTTATTTGTATTTTTTGTTATGTATTAAAGTGGTGATTTAACTTATTGATCCCTTTAGCTGAAATACCTGCAGAATGATTTAATAGCTCCATTAGACATCCTGGGGGATTCAGGTGTTCAGGAGGTGAAAGTATGTATGTCCAAAGTGTAAAGTAATTTTTGAAATTAATTGCCTTTAGAGATTGAATCAAACAGGTCACCACAACAAGCCTAGGATTAGGTACAATCAGAGTCATCACATAAAATTCCCTATTGAAGATATGGGAGATTAATAGATATAAAGTTGTTACTGGAAGGGCAATCACTTTGTAATTTTCCAAAGTTTTAAGTTGTAGTAATTATACACCTGTGTGGTTATGAGCTGAACAAATGTAATTATGATATGTAATTTTCTTTCTGGTGATGTTTTGATTTATTAGTCTTTGCAGAAAAGTTACATTCAAGAGAACAAAAGTAAGATGGAGGTTAGTTTTATAATCATGATAAATAATATCATTCTGTTGTTGTGTGCTCCTAGGCTTTCAAATCAAAATGAGGCTGTGGATGACCTTTTCATGAGAGAGTCAATAGACTAGTTCAGTAAACATGATATCAGAGAAGTTTATGACACAAGAAAGTTATCCTCAGCCTTAATCTTATTGAAAGGCTTCATACATATAGTACATGTCTTTATTCACAAGTCTGAAAGGGACCATTTTCACCAATTTTGTTTTTTAATAGCAATCATAAAATTAGTGGATATTTTCAGAATGGTCTAATTTTTTTTTTTTATACATTGGACACAGAATACACATACAGCTGCTGTAATACTTCTAGGTTTCTTCCTACACAACTATACTTAAGTTACAAGCAGTAATAATGAGCTACTCGTATATTTTTTTACAATTTTTTTATGTAATTTGATTGAATTACATGGTTTGCATTTTTTCCATAATATCTGTGGCACTGATGATTATGCTTATCACCATATATTTAAAAAATATATTTTTGCAGAAATTAAATTGAATAGAACAGATATTCACCAAAACCATTGTAGCTGACTAAAAGTAATGACACAATTATTTTGATAACTGTACAGCTTTTAGAAAGAGCAAAAGGGGAACTGTTGAGAGTTAGGAAAAAAAGTCAAAGAAATAAACCAACAGAGAAATATGAAGAGAAAGAAAAACAGGTACTTACATGTACATTGTCCTTAATGTTTTAGAGTGCATGTACATTTACCATTAAGAGAAGCTGACCATCTTTTATCACCAGATCATAGACTAATATGGCTCTAACAAAACAGGAATTTCTCTTAACTACAGAAAGTAACAAATGGAACTCATTCAATAACATGCCAACTCTGGAGTTGAGAGTGATATTATTTCTGATCAGCATGGTGTTTTTCATCATTGTAAAAATGTCCTTACATAGCAGAATTGAACCTATCATATGGAAATGCTTCTGTTACAACTCAGGAGTGAAGTAAAGGGTGTGGATTACATGTATGCAATCCTAGAGATCTGCAATGAAATTGAAAGCAGTATAGTACAAAACAATGGGAATGATACACACCCATAATTTCATAACAACAATTTTTTTTCTTGAGAATTGTTAATAGTTACTTCTTTTCAATTTTCAATTTCTATTTTGATCTTCTTTCAAGTGTGAGCAAAGATTGGAGTCATGCCAAAAAGGACTTAGAGAATTTAGACTTGCAGGCTGCAGAAAGGTACCATGTCAATCAATTGTACTCTTGTAGTTAATGTATGTTGCAGTATTAAGATCAGTGCTTTCACACAAAATTATATCATTCATATTGAGCTAAAGTTATTGTCCATATTGAGCTGAAATTATTTGTTTGAAAGGTTGTGAAAAATGTTATTAATGTGCTAAGTAAATCTCCCACTGTATTGAGCATTTCAGTTTTGTTTTCATTAGGCAATTAAAGAAGAATGGAATAGATATTGCTTCGTATTTGACAGATGCAGTATTGCTTCCAGAATTACCATGGAATCTTGCGAACAAGTAAGAACTCTAAACTCCGAAGAGTTTATGTACACTCAGTTTGCATTTACATGTAGATATTAATATAGTTTCAAATTTGTTTATTGTCTTAATTCAGAGTGCACAGATACTACGAGGAAAGCTGCCAGTTTGGTTTTCACTCATAAAAAAGGATGACTCTGTGTCAAAGGTAAAACTAGTTTGCGTACTATAATGAAAATTTTACTTCACATTTTACTTCATGTTAAAGATTTTTTTGATATACTGTACCTAATATTGCCATGGTACCATTTTACTGTTTCCTGTGCTAAATTATTCTTTTATTGTTTCAGGTGAATGGTTCCATATCAAGTGCAGAAATTAAAAAGGATGGAATTAAAAGCGAAAAGTATGTTTTATGTTAATAATGGTAGCCTGCAGAGCAGGTGTAATTTTGGCAAGCGAGTGCTCAGTTATTTCATAACGAATATTATGGCCGCCATCTTTGATTTTAATGGCAGTGGAAGGCTGGGGAGAGAAATAAATTTGTACCAAGGGGGCAGTTGATGGTCAAAAATAAGTAGAGGGGTGGGGGTAGGGGGCGGTATTAGGACTGATCATGAGTCAAGTCTAATTTGGTCTGTGATATGATACAGTCAAATGATTGATACTCGTTAATTAAGAGTATAATTACAGACAGAACTGGACTTTCTGATTATGCAAGCATGACATGTACATTGTACAGTAACACTGTCTAGTTACAAGCATGACTGTCTTTATAGAACTTAAATCAGGGTAGTTAGAATCAATCTTGTTTTGGAGTTTTGTTATAATTTTGGTTGTTGTTATTATCATAGTTATAATTTTTATTATTATTATTATTATTACAATTCTGTACTTCTGAATGAATGTGTATTTAATTTCTTACTGGATACTTTTCATAAGTTCATAAGATACTTGTCATAACTATAAAGTTCTTTATGCTAATTGTTCTCCTTGCAGACTAAAGCTGAGGGCAAATTTTGCACACACAGCAGCAGAAAATTCACAGCTTAGTTTCAAAGAGGTAAGTGTAAGTGGGCTATTGTATTCCTCAACAGCATGAAGGTTTTTTTTGTGTGTGTGTAAATAAGTTGCAGAGGTGACTGACAGAACAATTTTTAGCTCCTGTCTTTAGGGGTAAAAGAAATTCTGATATCCAGCTTTCCCTTAGAAATCAAGTTCTACAGTTCTGCTGGGCAGGAATTCAATATTATGATTATGATATCAAGCATTTGGCATCTTTCCTTAATAATATTATTCTTCTTCTCACTGGTCATCAAGGCCAAGGGCATTCACTATTACTTATTTTTCCTTTTCACTGGAAGGGTGATTTAATAAATCCAATCAGTGAAGTTGTTTCAGGATGGCAATATGGAGAAAACTTAAAAACAAACAAGTAAGGATTGGAACTTAATATTGATAATAGATGTTTGAGTATACATATTGAAAGTTTTATGTACTGTTAATGAAGTCATAAAGTTGTAAAGCAGTTGTGCAATAATTGTTATTTATAAAAGAGCATAAAATATATCACAGTTTGTATGTATTGAAAACCTTAGCTTAAATTTTGTCCATCAGTTGCAATCTTTGCTGATCTTCAGGATTCTTAATCTTCCTACTTTTTGATAAAGGTTAGTTATAAAATAACTTTCTTTTTTTTCCTTCTCAGGTCTGGCTGGTTCCCAGCTGCTTTCACAGAGGAGGTTATAGGTGTAATGACTGGGTAAGATAGAAACTTGACCCTTTTATTCCCAGAAGTGATGAACATGTTATTTCTCCCTTTAATATCTTTACATTACCTGACAAACAGGTAATGAGAAAAATCAAACTTATCAGGTAGAAGTTGTCTGCTTGATCTAAAACCAAATTCTTGCAACTTATTTACAAGGAAATGTGTAGCAGCCAGAGGGGAGAATTAAAAATCAGATCTTGGGAACAAAAGGGTTCACCAAAATGTGACAGTTGACATTCGGGTTTCAAGGTGGGAGACAAGTGCTCACACTATTGTCCATTCACTTTGCTCCTATGTGCATGTACATGTATCTGTGTAGAATAACTTTTTGTTTGTATATTCCACTGTAATAATTTTATTGTACACATGTAAATAACTTCTTGCAGTCCTTCAGTGAGTCATACATTACCTGCCAGTGGAATTCATCCACGTCCTACACTAGATTCCAGTGCTGGCCACAAGTCATTGAAGCGTTATTCAAGTGCTGGACCAGATGCATCATACTATCCTCCTCCAGACTATGTGGAGGAGGACAACAAAGCAGAAATAAACAGCCTATCATCCACGAACACCCCTGGTCTGTCAGGTACAGTGTG